TTAGCCAAAACAAAGCAATACTATTCTATAAGCGGCGTAGAATTGACGTTACTAGGGCATACCTCAAGTTTAGTTGACATTTCATCAGGCGTATAATTTTTTTAAATCTTTTTTTAAATGTCAACACTTAATCACATACTTCCTTAAATTATATTTTTTGTATCGGCCATGCTTAAACCGTTACGTATTTATTAAACTTACATAATATGAATAGCCGGAGATGTATGTAGCGACAAAGTGACAAGTTAAAACCAATGCTAGCGCCATGATTAGGCGCCAATAAAGCTTGTATTTTTAATCCCTGAGGCAAAAAGAGGGCAGTTATAAGTTTGAAGCTTGTATCTCTATATCTGTGCATTTGTCTCTGTCTGTGACATCGTAGCTCCCAAACGGCTGGGCTGATTCTGAAGCGGTTTTTTATTTGAAGGCAAGTTTAATCGGGATGGTTCTTAGCTACATATCGATCCTGGAAAGGCAAAATGTCTAACGTGCATTTGGAAAATATAACAGGAGAGCGATTTAAAGCATTTTTTTTAAGAAAAAAAGGCTAAAAAGTCGTTGAAAACCAAATACAAAGATCCGACAACAAGCATTTAGAAAAATTCGGGAAGTCCTTTGGTACGTTTCGTGGTTTAGTTGGCATGGCATCTGGCACGGTTTGTTAGAAGACATCGGTTCGAATCCGGCCGGATCAAAGGAAAGTTTTGTAAGTGTATTAATAATTAAAATAAAAATGGAGTTACGATTTTTTTCTTAAAAAAATACTTTAAATTGCTCTCCTGCAATATTTTTCAGTTTTGTTTTTATAATATCAAGAGGCGGTAAGCTAATGGTAAGCTACACGCCTGTTCATAAATGCACGCTAGACCTTTTACCTATCCAGTGTCGATATGTTTCATAAATATCACTGCTTCAAGGTCATCAGTTCCTTTTTCACTTAGTGTAGGGAATTCAGTCATAAAAAAAGTATTTATTTTACGACGACTTGAAGTTTATTACACTGTGAAAATCCGACGACATTAGAATAACAAGGTAAATTTTGATATGATGTTGTAATCGGTATGCAGGCAAATTTTCTACTATGACAGTATAACTGTCATCTTTGGGCTCAGAAAATTGGTATCTACAAGTTGTTAGCTTACATATAGTGACTTTAATAACTTTTTGGAGTATACTGTTTCCTAGCGGCTTTTTTAAATTTTAATTTAATTTATTTATTAAAGTTCAGTCCTAACCACAGAAATTTAAAGGTAAAATTACGTTTGCCATTTCTTTCAATCAAATATCAGTATTTTGCTGAAACGAATTTCTTCTCCGTACTACTACTTTGGTAGATAACAAGTTTGTACCCTTGGTATAATAAAGCCACATGTGACCATACCTTAAAAGTGCTTTTGAATGAATGAATGAATTAAATATTCTTTATTGCACATTAAAATTACTATGATAACACAGAATAGTAATCTAAGTATCACAGAGTAAGCTACATTAACTTACAACAGGCGGTCTTATTGCTAAGTAGCAGTTTCTTCCAAAAATATCTAATATGCGTGAAGTGCTTTTATCATATGAAAGTCATAAAAATAACACGATCTATATGAAACAAATTATGTATATGTTAGACTTCTTTTATCTTATCTACTTATTTCTTTAGTAGAATCTTTAAAACTGTTTCCTGAAAAGTTTACATTAAGGTTTATTTTGAATTAATTATAAATAATCTTCAATTTATATCTTCAATTTGCACTCTATATTTAAACGGGTGTTGTAAAAGGTTTCCATGTAATGATCAACTGTCAATGTTTGACATGACGCCTTTGCGAATTTTATGTTTTACCAGCGTGTATTCTGACAGCTAAAGAATGAAAGTCGGTAGGTAATACAAGTGATAAAGTGTTGTTTTAAATTAAAGAAAGTAGCAATAGGTTGGTGGTAAGTTTATATTAAATGAAAAGAATAAATGTCAATTGGTTGATGACTATACCATCTCAGTCAGCCCGAAACGTTGGATTGTTTGAAATTCTACCCGAAAAAACAAATATATGCGATTTAGATCCGAAAAATAGTTTCATTTCCTATTTGTAACAATTGAAAACTTAGGATCTAGACAGATAAACTGCATTTCAACTGCACTTCGACTGCAAATTTGCAGTTTGAATGCAGTTCATATACAGTTGGTCCAACTGCATTTGAACTGCCTGTCTGTCTAGAGCCTTAAGAACTCGATGTATTGTAAATACAATATGATAAATCGAAATTGCATGACTTGAAATAAGGTATGCTTTGATGAGTTTTTTTTAATTCTGTCAGTTAATCACATTCATTTAACAACAACAATTCACACACTTAGCCCCACACTAGGGTAACCCTGTACCGCGGGTGCCATGGACACACACACGGGTAGATAACCACAAATAACACCAAAACTCACGAGAGAAATAAATGTAGGTTATCTTTACCTATATCTAGTCTCTAACTAGCGTATTCCATGAATTATGAGCATCAGAGTAACAAAAATAACAACAATACAACATAATTAGCCAATTGAGAAATGTTCGTATTTAAACGAGCCTTGGCGGAAGTCAAAACCGGAACCTGCTAGTTTCGTATAGAGTGCTAATTGCGAACTGATATCCGTACTTGCAACATTTGATAATTTCAATAAATTGTATCCTCGACTTAACTTATTTTAAGGCGAATATAAACTATATTTGTTTACAATAATAGTTTTGAGTCATGATACTCTAAGGTAAAGGCATAAAGTCATTCATTTTATTATATCAGTCGCATTAAAACTTTTTTGATATCGTGTCCGAATTTTTTCGAATTTTGAAATCGCGACGTATTCAGTTTTTAGGAATTGTACTAAAAAAATATAGATTTTTTGAAACTTAAATTAAGACCTGTCAAGTCTGTTTAGTTAAGATAATTAAAACCTTAGTTAATTATGTATCACTATATCACTTCAGTGTCAAAATAATATCTATGTCAAAAGTAAAATTTATGTCAATATTTTCCATATCCAAAGAGAATGTAACCACTATATTGACACATGTGTCACATTTCCTCGTTTCGTCTAATGTCTTAGTATATTTTTTCCATCCTCTACGGTCTCAGTCTACTCTTTCTATGTCGAAAGTTTGGGGTTGACTTATGATTATCTTGAGTTTTTGATAATAGGTGCCGAAAGCAGTATGCATCCACCATATTTTTTTTTCAAGATTTCTCTACTGTGACATTTTCTTTATGGCGCTAGAGTTAGGCCCTGTTTAGGCTATATTTTGCATAAGATGTTAGTTCAGTTTCTTTTTCTTTTGCAAATCTAATTTTATGTTATTACACAAGTGTATAGGTAGTCCTATTTTTTTTTTATCTTATTTGAGGATCGAGCGACAGGTCAACCTCGGAACAACCTCGATTGCATGATACCAATTTAATTTGGCCGTATTTAGAATTGTATACCTCAGACGTGTCAACAAACATGTACTTAGTGTGACAAGGGTACGAATTGGTGTCCAATTTTTTTATCATTTAGGCAACTTTTTTAATGAGGTGTATTACTTATTCATCGTAAAATTGTAGAGCTGAGGGTCAACGATATTAAAATTACCAATGTTCTTTAAAGTATATCGTTTCGGTGCTGTAAATGGCACCAAATGTAAGTGTTTTCTATTTAATAATAAATCATGAAAATCCTAATTGTTAAATAATTAAAAAAGTTTGAACGTAGTACATCGTATATTTCTCTTTTTTGAGAATATAATACAAATACTGTTTTGTTTCTTTTCTTTGTTAAAAATTTGTAATTTGTTTGTGTTCTACAATAAAGTGTTTACATACATACAAATACTATTTTGTTCCGAAAAGATATTTTAGGGCTTAATTGTGTAATACATTTGTGCAACAAGGCTCTAGGATCATTCGACAACGACGCAATTTCAATACTTTTTTAGATCTTAGAGTTTCCCACTAAAGATGTCCAAAACAAAGATGTTGGGACACATTAATGCAGAATCTTTTACATCAAAACGTAACCTGTACGATTTCTTTTGCACTTAATTTCTCATATTTAAATTTGCTTCTATTTAATTTACTTTGAAAAAACTACAGTGATTTCTTAATTAAGCTAGGCCAAAAACCAAACATCTTGCTTGGTTTTCGACACCAAACGAAACGAGCATACCGACCATTGAAAGGTAAATGGAAAAAATTGGCCTATATAGGCCAATTAACTTGTAATATCATATGCTATTGCCAGTTTTTTTTTTCAATTTGGAGCGGTTACATACAGTGACATTTAGCAGCGATGCAAACATGCGTTTGTGAAACGCGCAATTACATCGCAACACTAGCGATTAATAGCGCTTATGTTGAACCATTGAAAACGAGGATCGCATTTGCATCACGTTTGCATCGCGGTTGCATCGCGTTAGTATCGCTGCCCAAGGCGCGCGTGTGAGTAAAGGTAGACGATTGGCGACTACATCGCTACTGTATCGTGACTGAATCGCTGCAGATGCGCTGCTCAAGTCGCACCGTGTGTTAACTGTCTTACCATTGATGTGTTTTCCAATATAAGGCATAGTTTCCCAAATCTTTTGGCTCACCGTCCACCAAAGCAAGAAAAAAAAATTTCAACGCCCACTACCACAAAAAATAATTGAAAACACGTTTATATTAACTCAACACAAAAATCACAAGGAAAAAAATTATGGGTATATGTTGTTTAGTTTATAAAGATAATTTAGATTTTTTTTCAAATGCGGTAGCTTCCCCTCGACAGCATCAACGCTACTCCAAAATACGTCTCTTCAGTACCCACAGGTAGGGACTATTTTGGGAAACTATGATCTTAGGCTCTCTTTTGCTTTTTCACCTTTTTTCAAGCAACGCAGTTTGGGGCAACATTTTACTTTCACTAAATATGGCATACTACGAGGGTCAAACTGAAAGTTCTTAGAAAATTAAAAACTGATTACATTAGCCAGTTATTAGTTTTATTATATCTTTTCAAAATATTGTCCATTCACATCAATACACCGCTGCATGCGATGGAACCACTGGGAAAAGCACTTTGCCCTCTCGTCCTTAGGGGTCTCTTCAATGGCATCGCGATACGCAGCCACCGCTTCTTCAGCATTCATAAACCGCTTTCCTTTAAGTTTTTCTTTAATTTTTGAAAATAAATAAAAATCACAAGGCGCGAGGTCGGGGCTATACGGCGGGTGACCCAATAATTCAACGTTTGATGTCGCCAAATAGTCGATCGTTCGCTTGGCGGTGTGCGACGAGGCGTTGTCGTGGTGAAGGAGGATCCTACTGCGAGGTCGTTTCTCTCGAACTTTTTCCAAGACAAGTGGCAAACAATTGGTAGTGTACCATTCTGCAGAAACTGTTTTTTGATCCTCTAACACAATTGTTGCGAAATGACCTACCCTTCCAAAGAACGAGGCCACCATTTTTTTTCCCGCACTTTGATCTCTCTTCACTTTAGTTGGCAACTCCTCGAAAGGAAACACCCACTGAGCAGATTGTCTTTTGGTTTCAGGATCATAACAGTAAATCCAGCTTTCGTCACCTGTTAGTATGTCGAACACAGCATTTGAGTCACCTCCGTTAAATCTTTCAATCATTTTACGGCACCAATCCACACGATGGAGTTTTTGAGCCTCAGTCAAATTATGAGGTATTCACCGGGCGCAAAGCTTCCTGACCGCTAAATGTTCGTGGAGGATTTTGTGCACTTGACTCATACCGATGCCTAAGCTTGTCCGAATCTGCTGATAGGTCACTCTTTTGTCAGTCTCTATCATACGCCGCACAACACAGATGTTATCTTCAGTCGTCGCCGTAGAAGGCCGTCCCTCACGTAAATCATCAGTGAGATTAGTGCGACCACGTTTAAACTCATTAAACCAGTTGTAAACAGTCGCACGAGATGGGGCTTCATCGTGAAAGGCCAATCGTAGTCTATCATAACTTTCTTGTTGACTTAAATGACATCGAAAGTCATAAAAAATCATTGCACGAAAATTTTCTCGTGTTAAATTCATGTTGACGTGACACAGACAATTTTCAATTTGCCGCCAAATCGTAAAACAAATGACAAATGAATGAAATATATACTCAGTAATATTGGCAAAGAGTTCTATTTTCAAATTTAAGAATTATTTTTTTATTATATTGTTTATAAGTGGCCAGTTCTAAGAACTTTCAGTTTGACCCTCGTATTCGTAAGGTTAAAGCGTATACTGTCGTCAGACACTTAAGTATAATACTTAAGACTACAAATATATATATATATATATATATATGTATATAAGTGTAGACTGCACATCCTTAGTAAAGTTCGTGCAGGTATTAGGTTTATTTTAAAAGTTTCCAAAGAGTGCAGTCACTTGATTTAAAATATATCTTGATGTATTTTAAAGCGACCTCGATCGATATCTTTTTAGTTACAAATCTTTTGTAAATTAGTCTGTCTGCCTTGTCCGTTTCGTCAACCTAAAGCGCACAGTTTTAATGTCCTTTATAACTGCCAAACAACTTGTCAACTAACGTTTTACTTTCAATTTGTTACTAAGTTATAGCAGACGGTTTTAATTGGTTACGTAAGGGAAGGATTTAAATTTGTGGAAACTTTGATGACTTAGACGATGGTATCTATAAAACACTCCTTGCTGATTAATCGATTGTTCGCCAAAATTTAAGTAATTCACATCAAATTACAGCGAAGCCAGATTAGAGGGTAACGTTATGTACTTTAAGTACCAGGTTACCAGAAAGTGGGCAGAGGTCATACAACACCACCTCAATCTCTCCCTCCTTGTGTTCAGTGGTGTTTAGATGAGCTGCCAAATCGTGACTACGGTAATTGGTAATTGCCAAGATAGCTTATGGACCCGAGTTTATCTCGCACATTCCATCTTTTTGTGTGAATATAGTGCAACACTGCAAAGTGCTATTTTTGCAGGTAGCTTACTTGTGTAATAAATGACTGCCCTAGTTTTGGAATTAGTTTAATTTATAGTGTACCTTTTTGAACTTTGTAAAGAATATCCTTAAACAATATACCAGTGCACGTAAAACATCGTGATATTGATAAACATAATATTCTAACTATTGGAGCGACATCTGTATTCAGCCGCTGGTAGCTGTAGAGATACTTGGCCGAGTGAATAAAAACTTTCATAGATTTCTCACAGAGGCGCTACGGCAAATAAGTCGTTAAAAACCAAAAACAAAGGTCTGGAATGAGCGCTTAGGAAAATTCATAAGTTCTGCTGGCTCGTTCCGTACGAAGGTTTTTTTCTAAGTGTTGGATCTTTGCTTTATTATACATTATGCATTATGTTTACTTACTCAAAAGATCAATTTACTTATTTATTAGAACTGCAAGCTTCATTTGCGTCCAAAGTTCTTTATGTGTAAATGCCGGTGATAAACTGTCTATTTATCAAAGTTTTTCAATCCATTTGGGAAAACGACATTCGACTAAGTGGTCAAGTATACAAAAAGACAACGATTTTCAAATTCAACACTCAATTAAGTATAAACTTGAAGAAAATGTTAATGAAAAGAATACTATGTCAAGCGATGATTTTCACGAAAAACTGGAGGGTGGCAAGTGGCTGATGTAAGAAAAACCATTTCAGATTTTTCAGCGATTATGTTTCTGTGTTAGGCTTCTTTTGATCTTCTAGAATTATGGTAATATTAATATTTGTGTTTTATGATACAAAATGACGGGACGAACAAGTCGTGCGTCTGGTTTATAACAGTTGCAGTGCCACTCAAAGTTTCAGATCGCAATTAGGGTCACTGCCACAACGCCCGTCACCCTGATATGTAAGTTGACAAGTCCTATGTGCCTGTAATTTCACCGGCACCCTTACCCTTCCAAAATGCATCGCAGACGCCAAACAGTAATGCTCACATTACTGTTTGGCGTCAGAAATAGGTAAAGTGGTAGTACGTCCCTATGCCAACTGAGAAAACAATGATGGTCTTTAAACAGCTAGATTTTCATGAAACATAATTAAAAATCATCCTGCCTTATTTTAATTAATTTTCAAATAGAATAAAAAACCGCTTCGTGATTCGGATATGCTTATAAGGCTTAAAAACTATAACAAAAAAAATTGAGTTAGAGTCAAAAATATGACAAATTCGTATTGGGTGATGATTATTCCATACGTAGTGTTTTAAATCTCTTTATATAAAACTCACAACATTATATGAAATTAGATAACGTAATACGTTACGAATATGCAAAAAAGCCTTGAATGAACGTGTGCAATTGATTCAGTTGCGCGCGCGTCAGCCTTTACCGTACCTTATAATTAGACGATATCAATTCGATGCGATAGCGCGCCTTGCGAAACCCGACCAGCTTCTAAGGGACCATATCGATACTTCCCACGCTATAAAATGTTTCATATGATGTAAAGTTCAAAAGAATATAGTCGTAAGGGGATAACATAGAAGGTTTACAATCTTATGTACTCCAATTTGAGATACGACTTTTCATTTTTCGTTGAAGCCCTAGACTTAAATCGAAGTGACCATCTTAAGTGGACACATCAGTCATGTACTTTAAATTCTATTGCCAGGTTCATTAGAAGTTGAAATCGTCTGTACTGTGATGAGGTTATGATGTTTTGTAGTTAAGTTAGGATACGCGTTAGAATCAGGATGCTGTAACAGTCCGGACGTAGGTCTAATTACCACAGCCACTCAATATTGCAAAATGAGCGAAGCCTATACTCGGCCATACCCTCCAGCTAGAGCCGGTCCATTGTTACACAAAACACATTTAAAACGTTCAATGGTGTCTTATAATGACCTGGGTGTGTTCATTTCATGTGCTACCGAAGGCTTAATGTTTAAAACAATAAACAATTTAGCTTATCTACCATCGCTATGCAGCGATTTCTAATTAATCTCAACCACAAGCCCAATTAATTGCTGTTATGAAAGTTTAATTACAACTGTTATGAGGAGTATCCAATGATAAATTTTATCTATGACAGGGTTTTCGGAATAAATTAGATTAAGAAGTGCAGTAAAATTTTAATTTGATAACTTATTTAGTTGCGCCAAACCAAGTTTTGATTTAATTTTGAATACTCACATTGTGTCTATACAATCTAAAAACTTTAAATTTAGGGTTGAGCTTTGACATTTTCCCATGAAGTTATATCGTTATATTACATTTGGTGTAATAAGGTCACATCTGTAAAATGACAACTTTTCAGGAGAGAGGTTTCACATTTCTACGAACGAAATTTAGTTGATAGTTTTTTTATGTGACAAAAGCACTTTTGACGTTTGATTACTAGTACCTTTATTATATATACCAAGGGTACGATATTATGTTCTATAGAATTAAGTGTACAATAATTCTACTGAATTCAATTCTATTGAATGAGGGTCATACTACGAAATTTGTGACTGGTTTTCTGTTCCGTAGTATTTAAACGACTATGGAGTGGAATTCCCTGCCTGCAACTTATTCTCTGAACGCTATAACTTGGGCCTTTTCAAGGCGAGAGTGAATAGGTATTATTTAGGTGTGCATGCTCCATCGTCGACGTCGTCGATGAGGTCACTTTCCCTCAGGTGAGTGGAGGTCAAATGCGCACTCACATTTTATAAAAAAAAAAACAAAGCCAGCGGTGGATAATATAATTAGTAGCTTAAATTTTCAATAGTTGATAGTAATACATTTTCTGCGTTATAAAATTTTATGTTGCTAATCACCTGGTTCAATACGGCTTGAAAGAGTTTGTTTAATGTCATGTAACCGACAAAGGCATAGGTGGAGCGCTCTCTTTTTTCGTCATGTTACAAATGTAACATGACGTCCAGTAGCCCTATCATAGGCATGACTACGTTTTTGGACTTTGGAATAATTTAATGGTATTGATGTAAAAAAATAATTTTAAATTTACTTCAATAAAATTCAACAATGAACAAAATGGGTGTGATAAAATTATAGGTAAAATGCATGTTTAGGGAGTGTCTGGGGGCCGGCTCTGAAGCACAGATAGATACTCCTTGACCCACCGAGTACAGAAGTGGTCAGCCAAATTAGTGATTTCTTCGTACGAGGTCATTGTAAACCTATGACGATTTAGTTAGACAAAGGGTACCAGCGAGAGATATTGTCAATCATTTAAATACACTAGATGGATTACTATAATAACTTACACGAGATCAAAGAGTTTGTGGACCAAAAATATCCTGCAATGTAATGATAATTAATACCATGAAATGATATTCAATACCAGAAATGTTTAACGCATTTGTAGGCGTAAGTACTGTAGCTCCATACAAAATTGCAACAATTCATGTTTCCGTAAAATGTTCTTCTGCACAGCGAATCTTTGTAAAATCCATATAAAATTTTCTGTAAATGGTTCCTTTGTAGTAAAATGTCCTAATTTATTTAATAGATTTGAAACCTACGTGAATGCAGTAAACGTTTCTTTACGCTGTTTATTGAGTTGTAAAAAAGACGAAGACTTTTGTTAAATAATCATGTAGGTGTATTTTTATTAAAGATGACTCACAAATTTACTGATCTTTAATGGGACGGAAAATACAATACAATACTAACGGGCGATGACGCTAAATTCGTAATCTTCTTACACTATCGCATTATTGACAACCTCCGTATTGGAGTGAC